AGAGTCCAGATGAGGAAGCGTTGGTGAGGGCTGCTGCAGATGTCGGCTACGTGTTCAAGGGGAGAGAGAAGGAGCTTTTGTATGTGGAAACACCGTTTACCAGGACGAAAGGGAAGGAGAAACACGTGGTTACGTCAGCAATTTCAGACGACAGGGACAACTGCGAAAAGTACGAGTTACTCAATGTTCTAGAGTTCAATTCTGCGAGGAAACGGATGAGCGTTGTCGTTCGGAAGCTAGGTGGAGAGAAAAACGAGATTTTGTTGCTCATGAAGGGTGCGGATAATGTCATCTTTGAGCGACTCAAGGAAGGTGACGATGAAGACCTCAAGGAGCAAACTGAGAAGCATCTCTCTGAATTCGCGAACTCTGGATTGAGGACTTTGACCTTGGCTTACAAGGTACTGTCGGAAGAAGAGTATGAAGCGTGGAGCGAGAAGTACTACGAGGCGACTGTCGCAATAGAAGGGAGGGAAGAAATGCTTGACCAAGTCTCGGACGAGTTAGAGCAGAACGTGAGATTGTTGGGTGCTACCGCGATTGAGGACAGCTTGCAGGACGGGGTCCCGGAGACGATCGCGGACTTGAAGAGGGCTGGAATCAAAATATGGGTCGCGACGGGGGACAAGTTGGAAACTGCTGTCGGTGCGTGCCCTTATTTTTGTTTGTATTCAAAGCTGATGACCTTGCTACATGCTCCCTTTCTTCAGCCATTGGCCACAGCACCAACCTCATCACACGCGATTCGAATATCATCGTCATCCGTGGAGGCAGCTCACGACCTATTCGAGATCAAATTGTTGGTGCCATGGAAGAGTTCTTCTCGGAATCTTTGACCTCGCGTAGAAATGGTCCGCTACCACATCGGAGGTCTACCTCAGGGATTTCTCACGAGGACACAAGGCTTGAGCTGCAGAGAGTAGATACAGGTGTTACTTCAATTGTTGGTTCAGATAACGGAGCCCGGCCAGGTGGTTTCGTACTGGTCATTGAGGGGTCTGCATTGGGGAATGTAAGTTGGTACATTCATCTCAAGGTTTAGGTTTATTTACTCAACGGTAAACCCAGGCTTTGAATGAAGAAGAGACCAAGAAGCTATTATTGAACCTCGCTATGCTCTGTGAAGGGGTCATTTGCTGCCGAGTATCCCCTCTGCAAAAAGCTTTGGTCCTCAAGATGGTCAAGAATGGTCTTGGGGTAATGACTCTGGCCATCGGGGATGGTGCTAATGACGTTAGCATGATCCAGGTGGGTTATCTTCCTGTCTCTCCAAAACCTGATTAACGGGAACTGCGCTGACTTAGGCCGCTGATGTTGGAGTCGGCATCTCTGGTGAAGAGGGCCTACAAGCTGCCAACTCTTCTGACTACGCAGTTGCACAGGTCAGTATTAGATTGTGAACTTTGCGATTGGGTGTTTATCCGACGCCGTTGTAGTTCCGTTTCTTGAAACGATTGATCCTTGTGCACGGCCACTGGTCATACGCTCGTAATGCCAACATGTGAGTTTGCATTACCTGTGACATTTATCACTTGATTTTGACCTTGGGTAATTGACCAGGATCCTCAACTTTTTCTACAAGAATGTGGTCATCGTTGGGACCTTGTGGTGGTTCCAAATTTTCGACGCGTTTAGTTCTGCATAGTATGCCCATTCTACATTCTATAGCCTTGTTTAATCGGGTCTTCCAGCGCTATCGAATATGTCTACATCCTCCTTTGGAATGCAATCTGGACTTTATGGCCTGTGATTGCTATTGGTATCTTCGACCGTATTGCTGGTCGGTATTTCTGCCAACTTTGGATTTGTGATTTATTGAAAAATGGTATAGATGATCATGTTCTCATGGACCTTCCCGAACTGTACAAGTACGGGCGCGAGAGGCGATGGTATGGCATCAAGTGGTTTTTTGTATACATGCTGGAAGGGCTGTATCAGGTGTGTTATAAACTATCTTTCGACTTGCACTAACTGATTATTCCCTCTCCAGTCTGCCGTCATCTTCTTCATCGTAACTTACGCATATGGCTTAAGTCCTACGGCCCGAGAAGATGGGTACAGCCCGTACATATATGAGTTTACGACGGTGAGCACCGACTTCCTGATGCAAAGATTTGAATTAATTCTGGTCACTTAGACAATCTTATTTGCTTGTGTCATCACTACGAATCTATCCAATGGGTTAAACACCAGTTTCTGGAGTGTTTGGGTCTTTTGTGCAATCTCCTTTGGTACCGTCCTTATCTGGTTATTTACGGTAAGTTATAAACATTGTAAGGCCACCTTTGTCTCATCTTATGCTTTACAGGTTGTTTATAACGCTTTCTCCCCTGGGTCACTCTCCACACGAGTCTATGGCAATAATCATTTTCTTTTCCGCTCGGCGAACTTCTGGTTGTGTCTCCTTCTGGTCGTCATACTTGCTCTTGCTCCTCGATACGTATCCAAAGCCTGGAAGTTTGGTTTTGCACCTGATGACATCGACATTATGCGGTGGCAAGTTAAGGTCGACCCCCATAACAAGAACTATGCACAGTACGCCTTTACCAAGCCGGAACATGCCAATGAGAACAATGTATACGAACTTTCAGAAACCCTCTCTGGAGCTCCTTCGAATGGCCCTATCGCTACGTCTAGATTTTCGTTGGGTCACCATCCTAATCAGTCGAGGGTGTCTATTCGGTCTGCTAGCAAGTTGGATATGGCTAGCGGTACTCGATCAATTCACCGCGGATTCGATTTCTCGACAGAGGAGAGGGTTCATCGGACGCAATGGATACAGACCGTGAGAGGTAGACTGAAATTGGCGAGACGGAGAGGGAAAGCGTCGTTGAACACCGGAGCTGGGAAATTGTTATCTTCATTCAAGAAGTCATAGGAAGTCGAGGGGGTCATGGCTATGTTCTTGGAACGTGCGAGACTTTGTATTTTATGAACCATGTATGGCTTGACTCTTGTGTAGAATTAGATCTGTATACTAGTCTGTTATCTACAGCCAACATCGAAACGATTCAGACTCGGGCGAAGAGAATTGTGTAAAAGATTGCAGCTTATGACATGCCCGCCAGACCTCACCAGTTTGCCCACTGGTGGAGTTGTTCATGACAGCGGGAGTGCACATGTGTACCATGACTCATGACTTCGAACTTGTGGTATGTAGTAATTTACTATTTAGGCACATACACCATTGCCAACTAAAAACCCAAGTAGAAAAAATTACATACACTTCTTTTGGTACTAGGACACACAGATCCTGGCTGACAATCGGGAATGGTCGGTCTAAAATCTACAACCCATACCCTGTCATACCTTTACCCACTCAATACCAAACAGCTTGTACCCGCCTTCATCAGCCCTTCCCAGACCGCCTTGTTTCGCAAACTCGGCACGTCGAGTTATAGCCAGATGCATCCCAGACATCACGGTTGTGCCAGGGACTGGTGGGAATACCTCATCCACGGTCTTATCTAACCCTTCATGTCGACCTGTCTGGCGAACAGCCATCATCATCCAGAATATACCTCCATTCTCCTCCAGATGCTGAGAAGGCCGCTTTAAGAGCTTCTCCACAACCCCTCGAATCCATCTCGCATGATCCGGGTGGTAGATCACATCGGCCGCGAGGATAAGGTCAAATGGTTCATCGACAGGGTGCGAGTAATCTGGACGTTCCCAGTCAAGCTTGTGAACAATTACCGGGGATGACATGGAAGGAAAATTTGTCTCCGTATTTCTCGTGCAATTGGCCAAAACATCGGGATGAAAGTCCGTGGCGACAATCATGGGTTTCTCCTGGTCCTGGATCTGGACGTGGTGCATGTATTGCGCGTTAATCTTGGCAGCAACAATACTCAGCAGTCCGGTCCCCGCTCCGAGTTCCAAGATCCTTTTGACCTCCTGGCCAGATATGCCAGAATCAGGGCTGAAATCGAGAGAAAAAGCGCCAGGATCAACGCACATTTGCTCGGACATAACAATAGCGCTAGCCCAGCTTTGCAGGCCGACTGAGGTGTGATCTTCCTTGTCAAGTGGATCATCATTCAGCTCTGCATTGACTTTTTGGTCAACAGAACCACGGAAAGGGAACGAGAATGTTCTTGTAACTGCTGGATCCTCTTCTCCTGAGCCATCATCTCCGATGAACATGGAGAGAATAGTTGAAGCTCTCTCTACCACCTCTATCCGTCGTTGCCATTCGCTTTGTCCGAGGATTTGTTCGTTCCCCATGTCCACCGTTCCTTCATCCTCGTCATCCCCCTCCGCAGCCTCCTCCGCCCAAACGTCTGCCCTGGCAATAAGGCCAGTGACCCACTTTATGGCGAACGCACGTTCAAAAGGGTCTGCACGGAGAACTTCGGTAGTGTCCTCGGCGACAGAAGCCACGTAATTATCCACGAGGATATCGTCATCCTCGTCGTCCTCAGCAGAGGCGTACCCGGAATCAGGGACTGAATAATCATGAATATGCTGAAGGTGTTTTAATTTACGTGTCGGCAACGCCAGATTAGAAGGGACAACAGTAGTTGGCTGGGTGTAGATTTTTGGAGGCCAGTAGAACGCTTTCAAGTCATCTAGAATGCGAGAGATGTGATGGGAGGAAAAAGAAGAAAGTTTCGAAAGAGCTGGTAGAGCCGATGAAGGTGGTAGTAAAACCGGGTTTGGTGAAGCCTCGAACGGGACCCCTGTCAAATTACTGGTTTCCATAGCTGTATAGGGAATAAGATAAAAAGTCTAGGGATTCCTCTATCGTTTTTTTTTTTTTTTTTCGTTTTGAAGTCTATGCGGTTGTCTATAAGTCTTGTCGTCTATAAAGTCTACGGGTGTTGTTTCTAGGCCAGAAAAACAGGGTGGAATATCGCTTTCCACCCTGTTAGAGCACAAGGACAGGCATTTTGAAAAGAGTGGTGGTGGAAGGAAAGCGAGCTGCGTAACCGAACGGGACGGAGCTGTGTAATGTCAGTGATGCCCTCTGACAGCTATTGCATGGCGAGTAGAACGAGGTTCTCGTAGCTAAGTGGTATAGCGTGGGATTGCAATACTGACTATCCCGAGGTCGCGTGTTCGATCCACGCCGGGAACTTCTTTTTCTTTAGTATAGTTTAGTATTAGTACTCGGAATTCTTTTATGCCGAACGCCAACAGAACACAGCTCTGATCCCCGCTCACATCACGGTGTTTTCGACTGTGGCGGTTATGCACTCATTCGCGGGAACTATAATCGTTAACGATATACTAGCGCCACGGCGAAGAAACTGATGCTGATGATGTTGCGCCTCAGACAACTCCCAGAGCGACGTCGCAGAATTTGCACTGATTATTACAAGCAGATAATGTAAGTGGCTACAAGGTCGTGGCGTGTTCTTCTCCGCCATCAGATATACAATAGCCGCCATCATTTGAGGCTGCGTACTATAATCAAAGATTAAAACCCAAGTTCCTCCAACTTGTAACGCTCCGTGTATACATGGAAAGCCAGATAACCCTGGCTAAACTTTTGATAGATAGCGGATGCTTCTTTACTTGGGGCAAGAATACGCACGATATTCTCGTGCGCCGTGATGCACTCGTCAACAAGAAGTCGCAGTGCCTCGAGCTTGGATAGCTTCCTTGTAGCTGCTAAGAGCGAAACGTAGTTAATATCGTCTTCGGCTTTCTCCTCTTTATAGAATGATAATATGTCGCTGTCATAGCTTTGAGTATTCACGAAACTGAAAAGATTTCTCTAACCCACTTTGTATGATTAAGGACAATTGCCAGGTCGGGCATCGCTTGAATATACTCTGATATAGATAGAGTCGGAGGGAAGATAAAGAATGAAAAGGCATCCGTAGCGCCTGACATGGTCCGATAGAAAGCCGCGTAAGTGGGTTCAGTAGCCTATGTATTCATCAATCTCCGCAGATTGAGGATCAACGGAAACACGACATACTTTGATTTTGAGCTCTTCAGTGCGGAATTCCAATACTACGGAAGTGTACAGGTTTAAGGCCGATGTAACAATGATATTTGCTTCGACACGCCCGAAATGTTGATGCATCTCCCTCAGGACATCGTCCAGTGCGACGAGTACCGGATCGGGTTGTGGCTGTCCGATAAAGAATCGTTCGTGGAACTTCTCAATGTCTTCCCGGTTCTCAAGCTGACCTGCGTCGTCCATATAGAACGTACAAGCGATGAAGATACACAAAAGCATCTGTGTAGACTTGTCCTCAACGTGTGCATAGGATGTAGTCATCATCATAACACTCGAGAGCAAGCAAGGGCCTAGAAAATGTCTTCCGGCCTTGGAGTCTACGGTGATACCGCGTCGGTTTGCTTCCTGAACTGAACGCTCATGGAATGCAGCTGTGAATTCGGGTGTAGGACGAGGAAAGTTGAATTCTGAGCGACCCAGAAAGGATCGTGTAATGTCCTTGACATCCGATAGGGATGTCTGTCGGTTCGAGCTCGTAGTCAACGTCAAGGCCAGTGGCTGAAGGGGAAGTAGGCTTACCTTGCCGTTGGTTGCGATACCCATTTTGAAGGCTGATAGAAGAAGTGATGTGTGAAAAGGACAGATGAGTGTCTTGACCTCCAATCTTGCGTCTGAATTTATAGGATTCTGTTTGAAACAGAAACTAATTTGGACATTCCGATATACAGTAAGACTACAGCTCGGAAGTACTAATCCGAAGTGAGAAGGTATTCATCCGGAGTTTATACTATTCCCCTGGCCAGATATCGCAGTCAACTGAATAAAATATGTATTGGTGCTATTTGCTAATAGTAGGGCGGTTCCATAAAGATGAGTATCTATAGACTTCTTTCCGTCTCGGTCAACCAGTCCAAGATGTGCATTGGTTTACGTTCGACGGCTGTGATAATGAACCCAAGACACCGAGCCAAAGCTGTCAATGAAATTTTCGGAAGTAAGAAAGGGAACCCTGATCTAAAACAAAGAAATGTGTTCGATCCTTAATCTTAATCTGACTTATGGGGTAATGCTTTCCATTCGATACGGACAAGTATACCGTACTCTGAGGTGACCTTTTTTGTGTTCGAACGACATAACAGTGACTCCACCATGGTAGCTCATTCAAACATTCATCATCTCAACTGAGTTACCTCTATACATCTCAGCATCTCTAGATATTTATCTGCGATCTGGATACCAAATCCGATTATAGCATGAGACACTACGGAACAACAATCTGGCGCGTATATGTCACTTTCACGCCGGTTGATTAGTATGTCATCACGTCCGGCAGCGTTTTCAATAATATCATCCCAGATGAAGAGGTTCCTGGATATCTGTTAAGACATAATAGTGAAGGCGTCTAGACAATTATCTAGCTTAAAAATGTCGTACTAGCTGACTGGCTTCAAAATATAAAACGTCTATTCGATTGTTGATAACGGTATAACCCTAGACGTAGAAGACAAAAGCATATGCATAGCCTGCTAAGTTTGGTACGTTCTTCGTCTGTCAGCGTCCAAAGAGATTTTGCCATTGATTCCCGATCTCGAGGAAAGTACATGTTCCAAAACATGCTAGGTCTCCCGAGTCTTCGAGGCTGTGGAACCCATGGAGAAGAATGAGTCGACACGGTATCGTTGATATCGGTAGTAGGACCGCGCAATGTGATGGCAAGCGTAGATCAAACTGGTTTGTAGAAGAACTTGTCATCGTGATTATACCAGAGCCTGGAGTATATACATATTACTTCATATCTGCTTCTCTATAAGAAAGATTGTTAATCCATTGAAATGGCGAGGTAAAGTAAAAAGAATATAGCCGGCTGTCGCCGGGACTCTTCATTCGAAGGTCATAGTGAACTTTCTCAGGGAATTCCCTTTAAGATGTCCATCTAAAGGTTAACCGCATAGGGAACAATTCCATTCTATAGCTTCGAATCGAATTCCAAATCCTGACATTCAGGCATCGGTCAGTACTCAAAAATGCGTATTTGGACAAAGTAGCATCGGTACTTAGTAGTAGTTTATAAGAATTTTCTCACTACAGGGGTCTATATCATATCTTGTCCGTTTCAGGCATGCACATACTCATTAAAGGGGACGGCCGCGATCGCCGTTATCCCCCCAACATGCCACAAATCCGATGCTAGTGGTGATATGAACTGGTGTAGAGATAAATGCCCAACTTGAATCCATGACGAAGATAATGAAATGCACTTGATTTTAATTCTAAGTCACCAAGGTAGCGCCATCCGTCGAATGAATTCTCCCTGCTGCTTATCTCCTACAGAGCCAACAGAATCCGAGTATATTCTACCACTCTTCAGCCTTAGATTGACCTGAGAGCGGGCTTGCGTTGATCGTATCAGAGACAATGGACGACGGTAACTACTCGGATGATATCAAGATTATTCGAATATAGTCCAATCGCCGCCGGGGTAGAAATCAGAGCCCCAGCTTGAGTGGGTTATGATGGGAAAATATAGACGGTCGCAATGACTATATCACGAATGATTTTACTCCGGAGAAGTCTACTTGTGTGCGGCGTTCGGTGTTAAGGCCGGACATAATCATATCACTATCTATTGAGCTCAGAATTAACCAAACGTTCGGGTTTTAAGGTCCAAGGTAATTCTTATCCTGGGAACTATTACCGAAATGAAACGCACGAGGCTTGAAGCGTCTATGTCTTAGGTGATCTCGGTGGCTTGTCTGTTGGACGAAGCCCCGGGTGGGTGATGTGCCGTGGAAAAGAAATCGTAAGATAACAGAGCTGAAAAACTTTTATTGGATGATGGGCTCGAGTCTATCGTCGCCCGGTATCCAAGGTGGATAGAAGGAACTCGCAGCTTGGAAACGATAAGTAGTACTTAATAGTCAGGGCATTGGGTCCATTTAAAATCTCGAAAACCAATTCGCTAACAATCCGCTCACGAGTTTCGGTGTACATTGTTGGCTGAGAGTATTATGTACCGCGCCGCAGAGTGATAATTAGATAATTTTAACGGCCATGTAATTGCCCGAGTCCAGGCATCAAGCTGGTGTTGTTTTTGGAAGGTTGAATCCCAACATTCAATACTTTGACTAGCACAACAGAAATGATAAACGCATGCTCATTCCCGAAGACGTGTGATAGTTCTCGAGATCTTCTCAAAGTGTCTCCGCAAACGGCGGACGTCTAGTACGACAGGTATTAACTTGAAATTGGAAATAGAAACGGAGGTCTTGTGGACTCTCAAGAATTCTTCCATCGACGGGAACTAGGACAGGGAACTTAGTAGATAACATGAATAAAGATTTGAGTCCGAACAATAATAGACCGAACTACGCTACATATGACCTACCCTATTCCCTCGATCGCCGGTAGATAGTAAGCTCGAGCTATCTAGTGGTCCAATTTCCTATGTATCGGATCCAATGTCAAATAAAAATATCTTGAACATCGCCTTGTTTTTGTACTTGTTAATGTTTTTAGATACTACTTACTCAAGAACCCGCCGCTAAGACTTACTAGTCCGTGCTTGGATTAATTCGTCACTCAACAACGGATACTCTCAAACACGTCTACAGGTGAATTCATCTGTCAGTTCCAGCCACAGAAAGAAACCCAGTGCATATTTGAAATTCTTATGTTTATAGCCGTTGCCACAGGTTAAGAATTGCCATCGAATATATCATGTGTGACTGATTGATAAGTTGGATACTCTAGAAGGTACTTTAATTGAGCAGATAGGAAGCTTCTGCCTCTTTAGAGTGTATAAAGGGATCTGTGCCTGGCATTCTGTACCCGCGTCCAAGCTTCTTGAATACAAAACAGAATGAGATCTTGACCCTACACAGTGGCTTTCGAACTTGCCATCCGCTGATTCTAATTCATGCCACAAGGAAAAAATGCGAAAAAAAAAGTCGAGGAAAACGACGCGATGAGGAGGGCAGCTGGCTGTCAGCGTCAGACTTAGATGTCAGATGTTAGTCGCCCAGTGTTAATGGTACTACCGACGGCAATGTGTCTCAAGTTCTCCCGCTCCAACCTTTTGATCTTGGCTCTAATCTTCCTAAAACGCTCGTTGACAAGGTGATAAGGTTCCACTAATTGCCTCAGCTGTAGCAATACTACCCTGAAAG